AATGTATATCGGAGTATGAGGCCAAACCTTAGATATATGTGGCTGTGATATTGATGCATGCGAAGTCTTGAACAATGGATGATGGTTATATTATTGAGCCAAGGCTATAGACGTTGCAGCATATTTCGTATTATCATTTACATATCACCCTAAATTGCGTATCTTTACGGCTACACCCAACAAGAACGCAGAATTGCCATTCCACCTGCCTAGAGGGCCGAGTAAATTACCTTACATTACCTAATGACAGCGGGACTTGGAAAACTTTCCTGACTATTCTGATTTGTTACGTCAACGGTAGTAGTATAAGAGCCGTGTTACTCGGTACTCCGTACGGAGTACAAAAATCTACACTACCTGGCGCCACAGATGCCCTATACAGATGCCTAGAAAGGACACAGATGCTATTATATGATAGAAACTGGGGGAGCATTGATCGCATAGTGTCGGGTGGATACGGTGTTAAGTATGAAATGTTTCCACTTATCAAAATTAGAGCAAGTAAGATATATATTTTGTATACAAATTATACGTCTAATATGAAATATGTGCTAGTACGTATGTACCTACTTTGTAGACGTAACATTGAAGCCATCACGAAATATATAATACGTAAATTTACACTTCGCTTTCGCTTTGGTTTTCTCCACTTTACCTGCAGGGCTTTCCGTGGCTCGGTAACTGCTCTTTCCAAAGCTGTCTCCATAATTTATTCCTTTATTAACCAATCAATTTATTCATCACAAAATATATCATTGAAATTTAGCTGTTTGTCCATATGAGGAAATTTTCTTTTGAAGAAAAAAGAAAAAGTAAAAAGAAAAAAGAAAAAAGAAAAAGCGCCTCTTACCGAAAGTGGTCCCCCTGTTCTTATCGGTTTCTAGGTGGCGATAGCTTTCCTCCTCCCGAGGTCACTACTCCTAAAATCTTCCGAGCACATCCCAATGCCCCCCTTTTTATGAAAGTCCACTGTGGCTCAGTGGATGACAGTTTTTGTGGGATCTCTTATAGATCGTTCATTGGAGGGCTTCATTGACCGTACCATCCTTAACCAAATCTTTCTTCGTTCTCCATAATCCCCTCCCTTAAAACACAATCGTCATCTCCCCTCCTTCCACCCCTCGTCTCTCCAATTATACATCACTTCCTCCAATCTTTTATAAGAACCTTGAGAAGGAAACATACTCCGTTACTATTTTTTTCGAGAAAATAATTTCGGAGCTCCCAGCTTTATTTACCTCCATTTTGGTCTAGTTCCACCATCTTCCATTTCTGACCACACTTCACATCCACTCCGATCTAGTCCTTTGCACATTCCTTCAAGAGGAAATCCTTCTTAGATCAAATTTGACACTTGACGGCTTCAATCTCGAAGTATCGAACACTGCGTACGACATTCGAAGGCTCTCCAATCTCGACAATTCACAGTTTGAACCCGCAACACCAGACAGAGCACGTCAAATCTACATACTAGCAGCGGGCCACAATTTGCTGGTGGCCGTATCTTGTTTCTTTCCTTCATCCCGAGCCAAGTGAAGAAATAGATCCCAATGTTTAACAGCCGGTGAGTTGCTATGCTCAAATAGTCAATAATATAATGGGTTCTAACGTTGTCTCTCTGCGCAGGAAGAACGCCCAGAAGCCTGATGGTGAATTCATCAGTCGCTTCCAGCAAGCATTCTCAGACATTGTCCCTCGGCGAGACAGCCCGGGTTTGTCAACTGAAGACTCGCACAATGTGAGGGCAGCAGAAACTTTGATGTCCTCAAGGTATGTACATCATGTATTCTATCAGGTGAAAGGTATGAGTTTGGAACTAACAAAGCAGTTCTCACAGAATGGCCGAGAACAACGATGTGAAAATGGAGAGTCATGATCTCAAGTTCCCCCTCACCAACAACGACCGCACTCCTCGAAATATGCATGAACTGGGGTTGACGCCTTCATGGATGGAATCGGCTTCATATTCCATGATGCCTCTTGCCAACCACCACCAAAGCTTTTATACTCCAACTTCTGCCGGAATGGGCGCAATGTTCCATAATCAGGCTGGCGATTTGCATACTCCAACAGGAATGCACTTGGTCAATCCGCTCTCGAGCATGTCAGCTGTACACAATCACCACAGCAATGGCTTTGAGCCCTTCCACCCGCAGTTCATGAATCCAATGCATGGCATGAATCAATACACACAGCAGCCGTCATATGCACCAAGCGCATTCATGCACCGCGACACTGGATATGACGCCATGGATGATACTCTCGATGACTCTTCCCTGAATGATGCACATGCCGAAACAGCCTCCAGCGTGACGGGCTCTGCGGAATTTCCGACTCAAATGGCTGGTGACATGTCCTATGCCAAGGGCGAAAAGTGAGTTGGATGATTTGATAAAAGGGGTATTTCTGTCCAATGCTAACCGCGTTCTCCATTCTAGATTCCGCTTCAATGTTTCTCTACGAGCACCGACCGCCATGGTGAAGAACCAGAGTGAAATCCCCGTGACCTATCTTAATAAGGGCCAAGCATACAACCTCTCAGTTATCGACACAAACCCCCCAATGATCAACCACGAACCGCTTCGATATAGAACATTCGTCCGCGTTTCCTTCGAAGAGCAAGAACAACGAGCTAAACCATCAACATGCTGGCAACTATGGAAGGAAGGTCGTGGTACCACCGAAGCCCATCAAAGGGGCGGAAAATTATTAGCCGTTGAATATGTGGATCCTTTACAAGGAGGCAGTGATGCCCACAGACATCGTCAGGTACAAGTCGAGAGTATGTGCGTCGACGGTTTCTGCGTTACTTGGACTGCCAATCCAGCGACTGGCGTATCGGATTGCAACATTCCCGTGCGATTTAATTTCCTTTCCACAGATTTCAGCCACTCCAAAGGTGTAAAGGGAATTCCCGTCAGACTGTGCGCCAAAACCGAGCTTTTATCCCCGGGCGAGGAGACAGGTGTACCGCGTGATATGGAGCTTTCTTACTGCAAAGTAAAGCTTTTCCGAGATCACGGTGCTGAGCGGAAGCTGTCTAATGACATCGCGCATGTCAAGAAGACCATCGATAAGCTTAAGCAGCAAGTCTCCCAAGCTGAAATGGGTGGTGGTTTTGCGAAGCGCAAACGAGGCAACAATCTTTCTGCTACCGCCAAGGGATCTGACATCCCTATGAAGTCTAGCCACAAGCGAACTTGGTCGATGGACTCGGATGAAGCTCCGCCAGAGAAAGTCTCTTTGGAGGATGATCTCCAAGCCAAGTTATCTATGATGCAAGAGATGTTCTCATCTACTCGCCAAGTGAGCATTTTCGGCTTACGCGGTGAAAAATTCGACGATCCCGACCTATATCCTATTCAGCTATTAGGTGATGGCGATTCCCCTCATTATGGGAATGTGAGCCGTTCAAGCACACGTGAATTGGAGACAATGATGCCCTCGCCGCCCAACACCAATACCTCTTCTTCGAATTCACCGCCTACCCAAGCACTCAGATTAGGAAACTGCCCAACCACCATCCAGAGAATTCCTTCTGGCGACCAAGTCTCAAGGGGTTTCATAGAGGCCGTGGGTGTAGACTTGACCTACCGGCCTCCGGTGGAACGCCTCCCCAAGCCGAGTAAGTTTTTCGAGCGCAACCCTATCGTTAAAGTCCTTGCTAATTCTCTTCGCAGTTGCCTGCTTTTATGTTCGATTTACTGGAAATGCGAAGCGCTCAGAGGACTACTACCGTGCAATCTATTTGACGGAACGCACCGCTCGAGACCTCGCAAGAAAAATCACCGAGAAATATCACATCGATCCGATGCGAATCTCAAATATCACGCATGCCAATGAGAAAGGCATGCGAGTCCTCGTTGATGACGATGTCGTCCGCCATCTTCCTGAGGGTCAAGACATGATCGTCGACATCGAAGCATCAGGTCCCAATGGCAGCGCTCCTGGCACACCAGGATCCGCCATTGAGATCAAATTAACCTATTAAACCTACACCGCATACATCTCAAGGCCCTGCCCCCGCCTCTCAACTTCGAAATTAATGCAAAAGTAAATTTTCTCTTCAACTCGCCTCATCTCACCTCGCCAGCCACTGTGGTGCTTGCGCCCTGGTCTGCCGCAACGCACACGAACTTTTCATCCCGAGTGCACCAGTTGCACTCGTCTTTTTATTTCATGTTTCCATATATCCTTTGTCAATGGGCCGGCATTCAATTTTCTTTTTTCTCAGGGCGTTGAACACGGGGATAATAAACGAGTCTCCGAGCAACGATACCCTGTTATATTATGTTTTTGATTTTTTTTGAGATCTTCTCGTTTAACTTAGCGTTGCGTGCCCACTACGACGGTATATGAGTCGGTGGGCCATGGAACTGTTGATATCTTTGTTATGGTTATTATTCCGATTTAATCGAGGGCCAAGCATACGACGTTGATACCCTGTTCCATTTTTTTATTTTCCAGCTCTTCATTCGATTAACCCTTTTTTCTTTTTTTCTTTTTCTTTTTTTTGGTGGTTGCTGGTCTTTACCAGCTTTGAACGTTCGACTTTTCCTGCGATCTCTATCCACGTCTATGTCTGTGTGCATATGCACGGGCATTGGATCATTTGATATAGATAGGATTACAAGTCAACCACTTTGACGCAGGTGCAGAATACGATGACCTTGCTACCTCAACTATTATCTTGCATGTAAAACTCGTACTTTGTTCTATCTTAAACACAGGGTATCTCTAGTACTATCACCCTTGGCACCTTAAGGAACCTTGGAACAATCATGTTCGAGTTATAAGTTATCGGCATTGAAAACCCTCACGTTAACCGAGAATGATTGACGTTCAAACTCCCAAATCGGGCTGGCCCGTATAAACCCACATAACAGAAAGCAAATAAACGCCTCATTGTCCATATTCTGTGTCCTAGGAACACGGAACGGACTGTGGCGTTCGCAGCCACAAAAAGTCCACAAAACACCCCGACTGGAGCTGGAACGTCATTATACCCGTCCAAGGTTGGAATCCCCGGTTCCAGGAACCTGGTAGAGCACGGGTGCTGAAAACCCATTGCCTAGGTGGGCAGTCAAAATCCCATGGACCGTTGCTTCGGGTTTGTATAAAATCTCTGATTGGACGAGCTCATTCTCCCCTTGTCCACCAACCAACCTTGGAATGCCCAGGTGGCTTTCGGCTCGGGAACCATCGGGAGTTTTACCTTGGGTCATAATTTCGGTGTTATTCCATATCGAGAGTTTTTCCCCTATCGAGTTTTTCCAAATCGAGCACACATCCACTTCTAGGTCGTATGGTACATGACTCGAGTTTTTTTTTTCACTCTTTGCCTCTTTTTGTAATACATGCTTACGGCGCTTACTATCGGTTACACTGCAGATGTATCAATTTCTATTTTCCATTGTGATCTGGAAGATCATGAGATAGTATGGAGTACTCCGCACTCGTACTCGTATCCATTTTGATGGCCAGGTCTGGAATATCAGTCTAGTTGATAAAAAGAACCTTAATTTTCGTTTTCGTATGATTCCTTTTCTCGAGGAACATGTCATATTATGTCCTTATCAAGTAGAGATATCCGACCCAGGTTCTATAAGTGTGAATCCTAGTACAGACCTCGGGGTAAGAACGTATATAACATAGCAATGACATCTCTGATATAACATCTTTTCTGTTTGGTAAGGGGAGCACAATCCCGAGTTTACAACGAGATTGCTGAACACTGGACTGCAAGCTACATCGTACTCGTACAGGTGTACCGGATAATGTCTGCCATCGCAACCTTTCCCTTCCTATTTTATTGCTTGCGTCTCGCCAGTTTTTGGGGTTGCACCATCTAGGAGTATGTTGTTTCTTTGTTCTTGTGTGTATTCCCTTTGGCCTTTACCTCTGAGAGATGTAGAAGTACATTCATCAATCGTTTGTTGAAAAGATTGCAGGGCTTTGGTTATATATGTATATTTTGGTAGACCAATAATGCTTCACTGTATACCGTACACCCTGCTGTCGTGGATCGAGCAAAATAGTCGTATAATGCACAAGCCCAACTGCTTCTAGCTTACTGGATCGTTCTAAGCATCTGTAAAGTCTAGTGTCAAAGGCTTCCGATTCTGTGAGACTCGAGCTGCCTGCAACTATAGCTCGATGTGTAGCATAACGAGCCTTTATTTTGTCACCATCTACCGGTTGACAGCTTTTCAATGATATAGATATGTCTTTTTTACTTAGTGTGTGAAACCACTCAAATATGGTTAGTATCATATATGCCTCTTGAACTGGGTCTCGAATACCATCCAATTTAGCGAGATTTTCTAGTTTATGAAGACCACCACTTATCACAATAACGCTGATTCCCTTAGAATATTGATTGGAGAGTCCCCCAAGCTACATGTTGTATAATGCGTGGTATGATAATATGAAGGCTTGGCATCAAGGAGTCGTAGATAGCTGCAGATGTTAGGCATCACTATCTACCACAGATTCCCTCCCCTAGTTTACACACGATCTAGCTCATGCTCTATCGATTTAGTTCTAAAAACCCTTACTCTAGCTCATCCAATTACATATCAAAAATCTATAAATATCTAATATATGAACTTTTAGCCGCAATTCAACTCTGATTCTAATGCATTCTAATACAAGCAATATGATGTCAGAATACGCCCGTTCCTTAGAAGCGGGGCCGAACCATTATATTTCCACTTCGGGTCGTCCCGTTACATGACTGCTCCTTCGGGTATCATACTGCGAATTTTGAAATACATCAGTGTATGTACAAAGTACACTAGTATTTTTCGGTTAGTAGCCGAGGTGGCATCTGACGTCGAAATATTGTTTGCCACTATAATGTGCTTGATTGGACCGTTCTTTCGGTGGAAAATATTTACCGACCGGGGACTCTGATCGGCGTTTATCGATTTTTAGAGTGGGTATTTAGATCTGGCTAGGCACTGCTTATAGGAACGTACGTTCTGTCCATAGTAAATCGTATATAGGCGTTGCACTGGGCATGTTTGTAGACTTCTAAGCTCTGCACTACATTAGATTAAAATGGAATATAATCTGGAGTTCACTTAAAATTGTACTTAGAAGGTACAAATAATATCCATGGTTGCTTGTGTCATGGTTATGCTCTAATTTCACCTGATAAATCTTGCCCTAAGTCGTATCACTATTGCCCCTGACCTGACAGTATAAGTATACTAAGATAGCTCATCATCCGTACTGTTGTAGGGCTGATGCTCAAGTTAAAAGAAAACCCCGTTGTAGACTTGCTGACAATCAACACCCTCGAGGCTCAAGTGATATCCCACTTCTGCACTTGACTTTCTCGCAATGTCTGACCTAAATTTAGGCTGTCATGCCAGTGATATTTATTTCAAAGATGATAAAAGTTAATATCCTTGCAATGTTTTGCTACTTTGTCTTATATTCGAACTTAGTTTAGGATCTTTATGACCTGACTATAATAGAAAACAGAGCTATGCCTGTTTGCCTTTGTGGTCTTGTTAATGTGGCACATAGACCATTGTCTGTGATACCACAGCCTCTTTGTAGAAATAGTTCTGTTATTTCGACAGTCCTAGGGGGCTGGTTCTGAACTGCCCTCTGTGTTAAAGGCAGATATGGGGTCCTTTATTGCAGCCTACGGCATGGTTCTACCGAACGAAAACCCCCCGATGTTGGGCAAAGGGCCTTTTTTTTTTGCTCTCATCTCAGTCGACAAACTAGATTTAGACTGTCTCACTCAGGTTGCACCCCTACGGTTGCTGATACACCCAGTTTAAGGTTCTATTCGAGTCACACACTGTCAAATTATATCCTGTCAAGTACCTTCCCATAGTTGTAAGCTTCAGTCGTGACTTCCTTGTACGTTTGCTTCAAATATGGAAGGCACATAATCATGAGGCACGTGTTGTCATGGGCAATCAGCGTTCCTTCCTCAACGGGTACGCAGCTGGTGACTCTGTTTACTATTTCTTCCTCCAGCTTCCCTTTCTTCTTCTCTTCTTTTTTTCTCTTCTCCCACTTCACGTTCGTTTCCCTTTTCCTACTTTGACCTTCGTTTTCATCGATTGCTTGGTTATTTCATCAAGTCATCACTTTACACTCGTTTATCAACCTTTATCTTCCCCAAGATGGTAGCTTGGACGCGTTTCAAGTTGCTTCTGGCTATGGTCACCACTCTGGTGGCCATGGCTTCTGCTGCGGCTGGTATGTATCATGAACCATGACTGGCTACATTATGATAATTTACTGACCTTGTCGAACAGAATGCCATAACATCGAGTCGGTCTTCCTTCAGGACCCCCACACTGGGGAGAAGTACCAGTTCGGTGAAAGTAAGTCAAGTTCACTGTCTGGGTCTACCCTTAAGTCGCCGTTACTGATCAATTTTCACAGTCAATGTTTTGCCTCGGGCCTTGTTTGGTCGTGCTGTCCACGCTGCTGAACTGAGTAAGTCCAACCTCCTCGTCTTCTATACGGAGATTTCTCAATTCTCTCGACTCATTCAGATCAAACAACTAACTTGATACTAGTCACTGTCACGGTTACCCATACCACCTGCGGTCCTGATGAACCGACCACAACTGTCACCACGGATGTTCCTTGCACCACTGGTCATCCTACCACACCTCTCACCACTGAGTCTACCACTCCGGTCCCGGCTCAGGTCACTACCCCTGCGCCTACTACCTCCTTGACCACGGTGCCTGTTGCCACTCAGACTTCTGTACCAAGCGCCCCCCAGGTGTCTACTCAGTCATCTGCCCCGGCATCCACACAGACTTCTGCGCCCAGCACTCCTAAGGTGTCTACTCAGTCTACTGTTCCGGTCACCATCCAGACTTCTGTTCCCAGCACTTCTGAGGTGACCACCCTGTCATCTGTGCCTGCCGGCCCTCACAGTTCTGTGCCTGGCACTGCCGAAGTTACTACCCACTCGTCTCTGCCTGTTGTCCCTCACAGTTCTGTCCCCAGCGCTACCGAAGTGACCACCAAGTCTTCTACGCCTGGCACCACTTTGGTGACCTCGCAGTCTTCTGTACCTGGAACCGCTGAGACCCCAGTGCCCAGTGCTACTGGGGTACCCACTGGAAGTGGCTCTGTGACTAACACTGGATCCTCGGTTACTGCCACTGCCACCGAGTCGGTGTCTTCATCTAGTCCCAATGCTACCAGCGTGGCCCCTGTTCCTGTCACCACTGCTGTAGACCACACCACCTCTACGATTCCTGGCACTGTTACCGAGGTGACCACCGAGACGATCTCTTCGCCTTGCCCTTCCCCCTCTGAAGTCTCTTCTGCTTCTGGAGTGACTACTGGGTCAATCACATCTTCTCGTCCTACCAAGGTGGTTCCTGTCCCTGGTACTACTGGAATTACTTACACAAACTCAACTGTCACCCAGGCTCCTAGCCCTGTGACTAATTTGAGCACTGGTTACACTGCATCATCTCGCTCCAACTCAACTGGGCTGGCTCCTACTCCGGTGACTACTGAAATCACTATCACCGTTGAGATTTCTTGCACCGAGACGACCAAGTGTGTCAGCACCAAGGTTCTTACCACCAGCACCCTGCCAGCCTCGCAGACAACTGTCCCGGCCGTCGCTCCACATGCCACTACGACCACCGAGATTCAGCCGACTGTTCCCGCTCCTGTACCCGTTACCACTGAATTGGTCACTGCCACGGTTGAGATCCCTTGCACTGAGACCACCAAATGCATCAGTACCAAGGTATACACCACTATCCCTGCGGAGACTACCACCATCTCTGTGACTCCAATTCCGGCTACAGTTCCTGCTCCACAGACCACCACTGAAGTTGTGACCACTATGGTCCAGCCAACTGTTCCTGGTTCCCCTCCACAGGAGACCACCAAGGTTATCACCACTGTCATTCAGCCCACTGCTCCTGTCCCTGCTCCACATACGACCACCGAGCTTGTGACCACTGTCATCCAGCCAACTGTTCCTGGTGCTGTTCCTCAGGAGACCACCAAAGTTGTCACCACTGTCATTCAGCCCACTGCTCCTGTCTCTGCTCCGCATACGACCACCGAGGTTGTGACTACAGTGATTCAGCCTACTGTTCCTGCTCCAGTCCCGCAGGCTCCCACCCACGAGGTGACTACCGAGATCAAGCCGACTGAGTTGGTCCCACTTCCACACGCCACGACTGTTGAGGCTACTACCCTGGTCAAGGTTCCTGCTCCTCCTGCTCAGCAGAGTACCACAACCGAGTCCAAGGTTTCCGTTGTGCCTCCCCAACAACCTACCCACACTCAGAAGGATATGGCCCCGCCGTCTCCTCAGGGTACTTCTTCCAGTGGCACCCACGCCCCTTCTCCTGTTTTCAACAGTGCCGAGGCCGCTGGGATCATGGACAGCCGTCTCCTTACCATGAGCATTTTGATTATGCTCTCTCACTTGTTTCACTTGATCATGTGAGAATGCCACACGCTTTTACCGTGTTAGGCAATTCTAGCCATCTTCTGACGTAGCAAGGATGGTACCTGATGCGATGATTGTGTTCGGGATGGAATTTGAGGAACCCATGGTTTTGATGGGTGGCCGTTTTTTTATGGGATGCAACTAGCTCCCCTTAATTTTGCAAATTTTAACTGTGATTCATATTCTAGTTCAAGCATAGCTTTTCTAATTTCAGAAATGTTCACTATTGGTTATGTCTGTATCATGAAGAGAGACTAAAGTATCTTATGATCTACAATCTACAACTGAATAGAAAGCTCAAGGACAAAAGAGCTGACCAAACAGTGCATTCGGGTAGTTGTAGTTCAGCTATGAAACAAATGTTACAGATAAACAGAACGTAATAGGTATATAGTGAGCAGCCAAAGCAGTGAACATAACACGCGACTTTATCAAATGAACAATAGCTAGTGTGATAACCTCACAGAATGGATGAATGCTAGCATCCCCAAAAAAAGGGCACAGTAGCTTGGCTAAAAGCCAGGGTATCTCAGAGAAACAAGGAGAATGCATAGGTATGTGCACATTGAGTATACACATATGACAGACGCGAATGGGTACAGATGTGTCCCTACCCCAACAGAGTTCAAACCTCAACCTCACCGCCAAGGGATTCAATATCTCTTGTCAGAGCACAGAGGCGACATCCATCACCGATCTTGTCTCGCAGGATTCTTGCCGTCGTGACTTTGGGACCAATAGTACGAGATGCGGTCGCAGATCGGGTTTCATCGACTGGGGACATGGCCCGGGGTGTGAGATCTGCAGATCGGTCACGGCTGTTTGCGCCGGATTGTTGCTGTGATGTGTCGGAGTGCAAGTGGGATAGATGGAAAATATGGCCACAAGCAAAGGCGACGAGTATTTCTCGCTCTGTAGCAGGGTTAGTATTAGCATTGTTTCTTTCAAAGGATAAAATATGGAATGGGGTTGGGTCAAACACATACCGTTTGCCCGGAAAGCAGCGTTGCAACCGCCGCATCTTCCCTGTCCAGGGCCTCCGAATTTTCTCGCGCCATTGGTTACAGATAATTGATCTTGAGCCTGGGTCTTCGTCGTCGGTGTCTTGTTGAAATCTTCCTCTCTGTCCTCGATGACATCGAACTTAATTCCTCGCCGCTGGCCTTTGCGCAGCGAGTCCATCCCAAGTGCAACTTCGCTTTGCATGACCCTAGCCGCGCCTTGGCTAATACTAGCCTGCAGATCGTGCTCACGGATCAAGCGAGTGAGACCCTCTCTTAGACCTTCGATCTCCAGCCCGCTCGGGATCCGACGCACAAGCTTGATCGGGTCGATGGCCGTTCCGGCTTCGACAAGAAGGCCATGAATGAACTTTGGCTTGTCCATGGAGTAATCAAGCAGATCCTCCCACAGATCAGGATCTTCTTGTGATCTTGCAAATGAAATGGCCTGTGAAACATCCTTGAGATCCGATAGAATTAGGTTCAAGGCTCGCTTCGTCTGGCCCATCTTGGACAAGAGGAAAATTAACTCTGGTGTGAATTTGTGGTCTTCGCAGATGGATGTGGCTTTCTCAAATGAATAAGATATACTGGTTTGGAGGAACTCCATCAGAAGAGGCCGGTCGTAATCGGCAAATACCTCAACGGCTGTATCGGCAAAGTTATCAATCAGGGCTTTGCCTTCATCGGCAGCAAGCTTGCTGGCTGCATCCCGAGCATGAAGTCCACGTCCCCTTCTGGGCTTAGACGCGTCGTGCGGTAATGATTCGCCTCGCCAGAGCGCACGGAGATAGAAATAAAGGAACAAGAACCGGTTTGCAGCGATCAACTGTGATACCACGGTTTCTGGAGGAACAATGCCCGTGTATGCTTCGCTTACAAGGAGTCGCGTGGGCTCGGATGTCAACTCCTCCAGTTCAGATTTCGTGGCTGACTTCATTTGCTCTTTAGAAACGCGAATCATAATGAAGGCCGGAATATCATCAGTGACTGCGTCGAGCAACCGGTGTTCCCGAACCAAAGCCATGGCAGCATCTCCATCTTGCAATCGAATATAGCAACGCAAGGCTTCGCGGTAATGCCCTCCTACCAGGAACAACTTGGCGAGGCAATCTGTGAGGATTCGCCATTCCTCAGACCCGACAGGTACTGACTCGGATTTCGCCTGTGCTTCGATGGCTTCTGTGACCACATTCGCATCATACAAATCAGATGGCCATGCTTCAATGAGTTCATTGAATTTGACCAAGTCTCGTGAAACATAGTGAGTGAGAATGACTTCGTAAATCCGAGAAGACAACGATGGATTTAAGTCGACTGGGATTCTTGAAGTGATCTCGTCGATTTTATCATTTTTGATAAAGGTCCATGCCCAGTGTTCCCATCGTGGGGCATTGCGAATGACTTTGCCACAAATGTTCGCAGCCTCAATCCACTTCTCTTCGCTGACGAGTTGGTTGATCCAGAGTTCCCCAATGCGAGCCTTTTCTTGTTCAGCAGCAGAAACTTTTGTTCGACCAGCCGTCATGATAGACGATCGATCATCAGCAAAAAATTCACCTAGACTGGTTTGGGACCTTCCTGCTGCCTCGGAAACAGCTTCAGTTACGTCGGGTATCGAGCCCGCAGCTTCGGGATGTTCGTCGACGAGACGCCATGCGTCCTCGTACTGGCCATGAGAGTCAAGCCAGGATAGGCGGTCCGCAAGATCCCTTTTGACTGCAACAACACAGTCATATGGGCTGTGCACGAAGATTTTGGCACCAGGCGCACCTGAAACTTCCTGCACCTCCTTCGGAAGGGCTTCCTCGGCTGCGTGTAGCTTGGATATGAAAGAGGGAGCAACTCTACCAGACCCCTTGTCGCCACTACTTGTGGTACTGCGGATGCTGGCGCCGGAGCTAAATAGCCGCGCAGAGTACATAGTAGCATCCAAAAGCCCATACCCAAGAGCCCCCAGGGCACCACGCTGGACGACTTGTCCCTCGGGGGTCTTCCACGGAGGCAAGACACTTAGATGATAATCAGACGCCGAGAGACCTTCAAATCGGTTAATTGAAAGTGTATCGGCGCTGATTTCTTCTTTGGTTTCAATGTCAATGACACGAAGTTCAGGTTCTAGGCCCTTTTTTCGATTGCGGGTCCCACTGCCTCTTCCGTTGCTTGTATTTTCCCCTTCGGTTTCCATATATGCGAGAATGACAAGAAGACGAGGCGTGTACAATGAGATGCCAGATACCACACAATCTGTTCGTAATCTGTGCTTAAAGTTAGCGCTGATATATCCAACCCGTGAGAGTTCCAGCTTACATTGTGACAACCTCTGCAGAGCCCAACTTCTCGCCCTTGGATGTTTTGCTTGCCCTTTCGGGGTAGACATCAATGACCCAAACAGTCCCTCCCCAGCCGACAACAAGCTTTTCCACTTTCTCAGTGGGCACGGTCGACTGTACCTCTGGACTGGCAGAATTGTCATTTGGGTCGAGATTGTCCCGACTGTCTAAAGCAGACTGGTCGATCCATTCTGCGCGTGCTTTCCAAACACCGGCCATTTCCTCCCAACCGGGACGATTTGGACGATCAATATGGCTGATTCGTTTCCAGGCAAATTCCGTCTCTGAAGAATCCAGGTGCAGATTTGACCGCATAATCTTGATGCCTTCCTCATTGACCCAGGCCACGTATTTCCCTGACAGTGACCATTTGATTGTGCTTATAGTCCCTTCGCCGCTGTGGATGATTGTGTCTTTTCCACTATTGGATGCCAGGCCCATGGATCCAAGCCAACTTGACGCTGTGGCGGCCGCACCCCCTATTGTTGTAGAGTTGGAGGTCGCTCCAATACGACCGCCAGTTGTCAGGACCAATTCACCCGCTCGGCCACCAGACAGGTATGACCGATCAGTTTTGTACTCTGGGGACAAAGCAATCGACTGAACGGGGCGACCAAAATTGCGCAATAGCACATCCTTGGGATCTACCAGCGACGAGACACAAACGTGGCCGTCGATTGAGGAGGTTCCGATGTAAATCGAGTTCGATGGTATGGGAGGGACGGTTGGCTGATTACTCAGTTTTCCTTGGCCACGGATACTGCCAGTGGTATTAGATGATCGCGTGGATGGTCTGTATTCTTCCGCGGTCTGCTTGCTGAAAGTGTCTTGCCTAAGGTTCGGAAGCGGAGGTGGAAATGGCGATATCGATATTGAGGTGACACTTGCTGAGTGTGCATGATATACTCGGAGGGATTGTAGAAGCGGCAAGGACATAACATGCTTGACAAGGTCAGCTCATATGTCTGCGCGCTGATGTGGCTAACTTACGACGTTCCCGTTGTGTGTCCCGACGATCTAGGCATATCATTAGCTCATTATACAGTATAGGTTCCGTTAAGAATGCATACCATTTTATCTCCTGCTACGAGGAACGAGCTTGTCGCATCCCCGTTGCGATATACCGATCCCAGGTGCTTCGTCAGGTATGCGTACTTGAGGCGGGGCTCCTCGTCCTCGTCATCCGAGTCTTCCTCTTCCTCGACCTCATCTTCTTCTCTATCATTGCTGCTACTAAAGCTGCCGTCATTGCATCGTTGGTGTCGGTCTTGGGCGCCTTGAGTCGTGTCTGTAGGTGAGCTGGTTCGTATGGATGTGTCGTGCTTGGGAGTGCTCTGAACGGCACTTTCGTCCGGCGATGTCGCGCCAGGCGCGTCCATGGCAAATCCCTCTCAGCACCTGCAGCTCCCAAACTGGTTGAAGTGGAATGCGACAAGCTGGAAACTGGTGGTTCTACAGTTGAGCCGGGGTAGGTCAGGGCCCGTCGGGAGCTTGGTTCTATGACTAAGCGGGGTATCGGGCCGTGGGCTGCAAAACGATGTCATCGACCGAGCCAAGGTTTTTGTTCCTCAGACACACAATGTTTGCCAGGCCATATGTCTGCTTGAGCTGCAAGCGACCAGGATTATGGCTTCCTTCGCGATTGCAGACCCAATACCTCCAT